CAAGTTCATCGTGAGATCGTCCCAGTAGAGGTCCAACCGGAAGCACATCGTGTGTTGTTGGATGAAAATGTTGGAGCGGTTCCCATCGAAAATGAAGATATGATCATCATAAGCTCCGACGAGGAGTATCACAGTGATATGTCCTCTTTGTCTGTGGTGAAGGATATGTAGAAGATGCAATCATCGTAAGTGAGATATTTACGTACATATACCAGTGCTATAAAATCCATATAAGTGATGGATATTTTTTGGGGTGATCATCATTTTGTATAATAGTTGTCTACGACATGCATTGGAGTTATGGCTTCCTTTTGTTGTGATTACCATTTTGTCTGCTCCAATGACTTAGGATAGCGAGTCATTCATGGGTTGCTTTTATATCCATTACCACATTATGTTTACAATGATTAAGAAATCACAGTGATGAATTAGATATATGATTATTCACTTATATGATGAACAAAATAATATCGTAATGAAATGCTCATAAGAATATATGTGATCACCATTTTCCTTGTTTGTAGTTATACCCCAAACCTGGGCTTTCTTGTTTGTATCCATTACGACATTCTAAAATTAAGTATTGTTTGTATTTAGTAAAATGCCCATACGAATTTTCCTGTTCGCGCGCTATAAAATTTTGAACGACAAGGATAATATAAGAGAAAAATTACAAAAAATGGGATGAATTTGTATAAAGGATTCAGAATGTATTACAAATTTAATTTTAGAATAAGCAATTGCAAATAAGTGCTATGAAGAGAGAACGAAGAAAGAAACATGAAGAAGTAAAAGTCAAAAATACATTCAACAACATTCAAAACAAGAGATGAACAACTAAGATAGAAAGCAAGTAATACAAAAAAAATATATTCAAAACATTGATAATCCATGTTATCAGGGCATTTGACGATCGGAATACACAATGTCATTCAAGTATACGTGTCACTTAAAGGTGTCGAATTCTGACATGTTTGCCTATTATGTCCAGAACTCCCACATCGACTACATTTTCGTGTCAATGTCGACATTTCAGTTCTTAACCGTTGACGTTGGGTAGGAGGTCGACCTGGTGCTCTACGTATATTCGAGGGCAAAACTTCTACAGAACAAATAGACTAAGGAACAACCCAATCTGACTCTCGACCAACCGGGTGAAGAACTTCGTTGTACGCAGCTCGCCAACATTCTGTGGTGTAGTAAGGGGAGCACAATTCATACAATGATTTTTCTTTTGCGCAAACAGCTCGGGATGCATGTGAACACGAGATTTGTCGCATCTGAAACTCTCGACATGAATATGTGTTACCTATAAGGTCGACAGTACAAAGTTCGGTAGCTACACATACCTCAAAAATGAGTTTGTCCGAATTTCGTACCGGTAAAGTTGCACCAGTGTCGAATGATTTTCTCAATTCATTATCAATTTTTGGTGTCACAGTCATACTACATTTCGTGGATGCACTTTTTCTCTCGTAGAACCATCGTTGCATCAATAACGTAATATTTTCGACCAACGAGGTTATAGGGAAACTTCTTTGTCGCCTTAGGACTGAATTTAATGACTCCACAATGTTATTCGTCATAACGTTGTACCGATTACCAACAAGATTTTCTCGTGACTAGGTGGATATACCGGCATGTTCCAAGTAAGATGTCATTGACGGTCGAATGATTCTTATCTGTGTCATGAATTGATCAAATTCTGATACGCGGTATGCTAGTGCTGCCTGCTTGAACAAGAATATGACATTGCTACTGCTATACCTAGCAATAAGATTTTTCTCGATATGCCAGATGCAGGCACCGTGGTGAGAAAGTGGGAAC